GTAAAGCTGATCTTCAATATATCTGATAGTTTGACAACTAGGTTCAACACCTGGTCATGTGGTAACCAGCCGTACGTCTGTGGCCTACCTGGCTGATCTCTGTTCCAGTTGGTGTAAGAAACTTCATCTCCGCTAAGCCAGTGGAAGGAGCCGCCGCTGCCCTGATTACGGAGGCCGATCCAGAAGGAATCTCCAGAGCGGCCGAACACCAGGCTGTTGGCGAAGGCCTGCTCGAACCTTTAAAGACAAAACAGAGGTTTTTGGGGGAGGCAGCATTGACAGAACACGCTGCGATTTCCTTCAATCATTTCGAGGTACTGTGCGTGTGCTGTATCCACCTATTAGTGATGGTAACAAGGGCGGCGCTTTGGTCCTCACAGGCCTTTTTGGCTTCATCGAAAGTGAAAAGATCTTCGCCCACCCAGTAACAAGCTGGACTGTGCCACTTCCAGCCCTGAGAGGAGAGCAGAGGAGTTTAGTGAGAAGTGGAAAGTAGAGTGAACAAAAATATACATGCAGCATTTAATATTTTATTTAGCTCCATCCTTTCTGTTTATCATAGAGGAACAAGCATTTGCGGTTCCAATACACGGCATCTATGCAACAGAACGGATGTCATGAAACAAGCAAGTTCACTTAGAGTCAGAAAAGGAGACCACCAGAAAAGAAGTATCGACAAAAAAATGCAACCAGTCAAATAGCGACAAGGCTGTGCAACTCAAAAAAAACACCAAAAACAGTCCAAGTCCAGATATGACTGTGCATCAAAGTACTCGTAAAGACAAAAAAATCATGCCGAATTTTTCAAAAAATGTTTTGTAAATGTAAGGATATGCCTAAATATCAAGTGAGTCAGACTCATGACTCATGAAAAACATCACTTAAATGTCAAATGATTCAACAGGGAATCACCTTTCAATAGCTGCATTACTTCTAAGTTGAACACTACAGTATTTCCTCTTATGGATGATTAAAAAAAACTAATTCTTGATAAAGACTCAATTGAAAATGAAGTAGAAAAAGTGAATCTCACTGTGATTTCTAATAAGCCTGATTGTGTGAATATGGTGGGAAAAAGTGAACTTTGGCTGTGTCTATCTGCATGTCTTCATCATGGCTCCACATGGACAAGAAGCAGAAAAATCTGGTTGTGAGATTGCACAAAGATGGAAAAGGATGCAGAAAACTCAAACTCAGTTGAAGCACAGCAGTAATCAGGAGGTATAGAAGGAGTCATAGCACCACTAATCAGAGCTGCAGTGGTCGCCGTCCTGAAATGACTCCACAGACAGTCAACTACTTTCACAATGTAGCTCTAAACCAGTCGGGCAAATGCTTCAGACTTGGTACAGGGGTTATCAATGGAAATCAGAGTTTCTGTGACAGCTCAGACAGTGCAAATGGCAACGTACAATGTCAACCCTTATGGGTGGTGCTCTCGAAAAAAAAAACTTCCAGTTTGGTACAAAACTGCATCATGAAACTTGCTAAATTACATGACAAAAAGCCTGGTGAACATTTGGGAGCGCATTCTGTGGTCAGCACAACTAAGATAAATTTGTTCAGCTCAGACGGAGTCCAACATTTTTGGTGCGATCCTGCCCAGGACCACCACAGTGAAGGCAAAGTCCCGACAGTGAAGCTCGGAAATTTATAGACGCACCACGAAAGCCTGTATTTAAACCAAAATACTGGCTGACAAGATGATTTCCAGTCTGCAGAAACTTGAAGAAGAGGAATATTACAGCATGAGAACTATCCAGAGCACAAAATTTGTAAAGGCGTTTGTAAAGAAGAAAAAAGTGGAAATTACAATCCTGAGGAGTGTGTCATTTGACTTGAATTTGACAGCGTGCTATTTGTACAATTCTGAAATAGGCATTTAAATGTGTTTCAGTAGCACCACTTACTTGGGTTAACATGTATAAGAACGACGTCAAGGTAAAGACCAAAACCTGACCGACAATATCAAACCTTTTATGGCTATAAAATCAGAACTGGTGTCTCTTTTCTTTGATGAAACACATCTAAATTATAGTATTATTTACAGTTAAGACAGTTCACTTCTAAAAGCTGTCAGTATCTCAATTGCAGAGTGAAAAGAACAAGTCCAGGCATACACAAATAACTTTTCCCTGGCTTGACTCCCTGCTGCCAGCTCATGCGCTGTAGACGTGTACAGACGTAGAAGGCAGCCAGCGCTCAGAAGGGGTGAGATTTTGCATGAGAATGACAGTGAGAATCGGGGCCATGTACAGTTTCGTGCGAATAAACCCGACCTCGGGCTTTTTTTTTTTTTTTTTTTTTTGCACAACCACGTCTGGCATCTGGACAGAAACCTCAAAGATTACAGCTGCTCCAGAGGCTTGATCTGTTGAAACTCACAACTCCCTGACACCCTTTCCTGGCCTTCCCGTACAGTCAAAACATCACCAAAACACAGACTGCATGTTCCCCGTCATGCTACACGCAACATGCGGCAGCTGGCACGCACTAGCAGTCATGTCATTTACAGGTTTTCTTTCCCCCTCTTCAGAACAATCCAAACATTATTTTCAACCACATGGCTTCCATCATTTGAAAACAAGCAGTATGTGGAATATTTGTGGGTGGGAATCGTCTCACTGCTTTGACTTTATCATACAAAACCACTGACATGTTGGCCTGAGCGTCTCTGGGGACATAAGTAGCAAAACATCCAGATCTCTCCTATATGGAAATCACAAATAGGAAAAGTTTCAAAGAGAATATTATAAGTTGCCGCTGTTGTTCAGCTCCGGTTTTGGTCTCTACCAGCTCCTGAGGGGAATATCTGGCTCCTCAGCTGATAAATGCTCTCCAAAGTTCACCAGCTCGTCGCTAACTGTGTCTGTCTGCCGGTTTGTGCAGAAGAGAGTTTTTTTTTTGTGGAGGACAAATCCATGAGGGCAGCGAGAGTGAACTAAGAGTTTCAGGCTGCTAAAAAGTGAGCAGAAACTTGCTGGAAAAAGCTGTAACGCTAAGGGAAGCTGTAGATGTGAGTGACTTGTGGTTTCCGGTGACTTTCTGCAACTTTTGGGATCTGGTAGTTGCGTCTTTTGAATTTGTTTAGGCTTTTGATGCAGTCAGTTGTGTTGGTCAATGCTGGCATCCAGGCGGTACTGTGCTGTTGGGTCATTCCACCTCAAATCATCACTTTTTCACAAGAACTTCTACTCCACCACCTCTGATTTGCCTGAAAATCTTCAAGATTTTTGCGAAATTTTAGCTTGTAATATTAAAAACCTTTTGAGATAACATTCTTATGCCAATTTCTCCACTTCAGCAGGTTTTTTCGCACATTCAAATTTGGATTCAGTGCTTAAATGACAATTTCTTAAACTACTACAGATAAAAGCCTGGATTCTGCACAGTTATTTCTCATCTGGAATATCTGACAAGTACTTCAAACAGACTCTGATTATGGATGAGGGAAATTATATTGAAATATCTTTTGCTTTTGTGGTACAGCTTATCATATCTGTTCAATCGGTTCTGAAAGCTCAACAGAAATGTTGAATTCTTGTGACCAAGTATTTGATATTAAAAAGTATTCTATATGTTTTATTTTGTGTAGCTACATGGTGCAGAAAATATCACTCCTTGACCCCGGCATTATTTATTTATTTTTTGTTAATATGGACTCAAAGATGGGATTTTTCATAATGCCTTCTTTTTCATTTTTCAACCTATATTTACAGATTATTCGATCTACTTTTTTAATATTGCAGATTATAAATCAATGACATGATAAGAAATAACGGTGAATATTTANGTAAAGCTGATCTTCAATATATCTGATAGTTTGACAACTAGGTTCAACACCTGGTCATGTGGTAACCAGCCGTACGTCTGTGGCCTACCTGGCTGATCTCTGTTCCAGTTGGTGTAAGAAACTTCATCTCCGCTAAGCCAGTGGAAGGAGCCGCCGCTGCCCTGATTACGGAGGCCGATCCAGAAGGAATCTCCAGAGCGGCCGAACACCAGGCTGTTGGCGAAGGCCTGCTCGAACCTTTAAAGACAAAACAGAGGTTTTTGGGGGAGGCAGCATTGACAGAACACGCTGCGATTTCCTTCAATCATTTCGAGGTACTGTGCGTGTGCTGTATCCACCTATTAGTGATGGTAACAAGGGCGGCGCTTTGGTCCTCACAGGCCTTTTTGGCTTCATCGAAAGTGAAAAGATCTTCGCCCACCCAGTAACAAGCTGGACTGTGCCACTTCCAGCCCTGAGAGGAGAGCAGAGGAGTTTAGTGAGAAGTGGAAAGTAGAGTGAACAAAAATATACATGCAGCATTTAATATTTTATTTAGCTCCATCCTTTCTGTTTATCATAGAGGAACAAGCATTTGCGGTTCCAATACACGGCATCTATGCAACAGAACGGATGTCATGAAACAAGCAAGTTCACTTAGAGTCAGAAAAGGAGACCACCAGAAAAGAAGTATCGACAAAAAAATGCAACCAGTCAAATAGCGACAAGGCTGTGCAACTCAAAAAAAACACCAAAAACAGTCCAAGTCCAGATATGACTGTGCATCAAAGCACATAAGGAAAAAAAATCATGCAGAATTTTTCAAAAAAATGTTTTGTAAATGTAAGGATATGCCTAAATATCAAGTGAGTCAGACTCATGAGTCACGAACAACATCACTTAAATGTCAAATGATTCAACAGGGAATCACCTTTCAATAGCTGCATTACTTACTACACTACAGTATTTCCTCTTATGGAAGATTAAAAAAAAACTAATTCTTGATAAAGACTCAATTGAAAATGAAGTAGAAAAAGTGAATCTCACTGTGATTTCTAATAAGCCTGATTGTGTGAATATGGTGGGAAAAAGTGAACTTTGGCTGTGTCTATCTGCATGTCTTCATCATGGCTCCACATGGACAAGAAGCAGAAAAATCTGGTTGTGAGATTGCACAAAGATGGAAAAGGATGCAGAAAACTCAAACTCAGTTGAAGCACAGCAGTAATCAGGAGGTATAGAAGGAGTCATAGCACCACTAATCAGAGCTGCAGTGGTCGCCGTCCTGAAATGACTCCACAGACAGTCAACTACTTTCACAATGTAGCTCTAAACCAGTCGGGCAAATGCTTCAGACTTGGTACAGGGGTTATCAATGGAAATCAGAGTTTCTGTGACAGCTCAGACAGTGCAAATGGCAACGTACAATGTCAACCCTTATGGGTGGTGCTCTCGAAAAAAAAAACTTCCAGTTTGGTACAAAACTGCATCATGAAACTTGCTAAATTACATGACAAAAAGCCTGGTGAACATTTGGGAGCGCATTCTGTGGTCAGCACAACTAAGATAAATTTGTTCAGCTCAGACGGAGTCCAACATTTTTGGTGCGATCCTGCCCAGGACCACCACAGTGAAGGCAAAGTCCTGACAGTGAAGCTCGGAAATTTATAGACGCACCATGAAAGCCTGTATTTAAACCAAAATACTGGCTGACAAGATGATTTCCAGTCTGCAGAAATTTGAAGAAGAGGAATATTACAGCATGAGAACTATCCAGAGCACAAAATCACACAGGCGTTTGTAAAGAAGAAAAAAGTGGAAATTACAATCCTGAGGAGTGTGTCATTTGACTTGAATTTGACAGCGTGCTATTTGTACAATTCTGAAATAGGCATTTAAATGTGTTTCAGTAGCACCACTTACTTGGGTTAACATGTATAAGAACGACGTCAAGGTAAAGACCAAAACCTGACCGACAATATCAAACCTTTTATGGCTATAAAATCAGAACTGGTGTCTCTTTTCTTTGATGAAACACATCTAAATTATAGTATTATTTACAGTTAAGACAGTTCACTTCTAAAAGCTGTCAGTATCTCAATTGCAGAGTGAAAAGAACAAGTCCAGGCATACACAAATAACTTTTCCCTGGCTTGACTCCCTGCTGCCAGCTCATGCGCTGTAGACGTGTACAGACGTAGAAGGCAGCCAGCGCTCAGAAGGGGTGAGATTTTGCATGAGAATGACAGTGAGAATCGGGGCCATGTACAGTTTCGTGCGAATAAACCCGACCTCGGGCTTTTTTTTTTTTTTTTTTTTTTGCACAACCACGTCTGGCATCTGGACAGAAACCTCAAAGATTACAGCTGCTCCAGAGGCTTGATCTGTTGAAACTCACAACTCCCTGACACCCTTTCCTGGCCTTCCCGTACAGTCAAAACATCACCAAAACACAGACTGCATGTTCCCCGTCATGCTACACGCAACATGCGGCAGCTGGCACGCACTAGCAGTCATGTCATTTACAGGTTTTCTTTCCCCCTCTTCAGAACAATCCAAACATTATTTTCAACCACATGGCTTCCATCATTTGAAAACAAGCAGTATGTGGAATATTTGTGGGTGGGAATCGTCTCACTGCTTTGACTTTATCATACAAAACCACTGACATGTTGGCCTGAGCGTCTCTGGGGACATAAGTAGCAAAACATCCAGATCTCTCCTATATGGAAATCACAAATAGGAAAAGTTTCAAAGAGAATATTATAAGTTGCCGCTGTTGTTCAGCTCCGGTTTTGGTCTCTACCAGCTCCTGAGGGGAATATCTGGCTCCTCAGCTGATAAATGCTCTCCAAAGTTCACCAGCTCGTCGCTAACTGTGTCTGTCTGCCGGTTTGTGCAGAAGAGAGTTTTTTTTTTGTGGAGGACAAATCCATGAGGGCAGCGAGAGTGAACTAAGAGTTTCAGGCTGCTAAAAAGTGAGCAGAAACTTGCTGGAAAAAGCTGTAACGCTAAGGGAAGCTGTAGATGTGAGTGACTTGTGGTTTCCGGTGACTTTCTGCAACTTTTGGGATCTGGTAGTTGCGTCTTTTGAATTTGTTTAGGCTTTTGATGCAGTCAGTTGTGTTGGTCAATGCTGGCATCCAGGCGGTACTGTGCTGTTGGGTCATTCCA